CGAGATCGGACGCTGTGCTACGCACATGGTGGTAATGAATTTGTGATTGAAGTGAACTTCTCAAGTGAGGCGACCTAGCCGATCGGGTCGAGATCGGACTCCGCTCAAGTTAGCGGTGGTAATGTGAACAAAGACGAACAGCATGAGATGCCAAAAAAAAAGCTATGGAAACACAATGAGAAAATTGTATGCTTCCTTTATTTGTAAATGTGTGGCCATTTAAAGTCCCCTTTGAGTTGTACTTATCATTGCTTTATTCTTGTATGGAAGTTCTTTCTAACTACATGGAGTTTAGTTATACATACTAGTACTATTCCATGGTACTAACGTCCCTTTTGCCGGGGGCGCTACATTTGTTTAATGACTGTAGGTGGCTCCATTGTAGATAGTGTTGATCGCGTGTAGCAGAGTACCTTCTTCCGAAGTTTGGGTGAGCCCCTTTCTCCTTCAAGGGGTTAGATTACACATATTTTGTCGTAGGCTCCTACTTTTGAGGTATAGCCGGGGCCTTGTTGCCGGCAGTGTCGTGCTTGTCTTTTTACTTCCTTAGAGGCTCCGTAGACATGTGTGTGGGTTATGTACGGGTGTTTGAGGGGTCCATGAACTATGTTGTAATTCTAAGCCCATGTTATCTATAAATTGTAATTTTATGGGAATTCGGAAACTAACTTTAACTACGGTTTAAGTTTGTAATATAAAATGAACTAACACTGTTGAATGTACTACGTTTCCCTGCTTAAATAAAAAGGAAACATGGCTATCTTGTTCATGATGAGTTGGATAGGAAGTGTGTGATGAGGCTTGCTCGGTTGGGTTCACTCGATCGAGCGCCGGTCGCGCCTCCCGAGGTTGGGGCGTGACAAACTTGGTATCAGAGCCTAAGGTTTCAAAGTGTCCTAGGATATCTCGGAGCCGTGTCTAGTAGAGTCCTTCTTATCGGTGTGTAGTCGACCACATCTATAAGTTGGAGGCTACTCGGGCATTAGGAACAACACCCTTCTTTGGTATTCTTGATCGTGCGGAAATTATGATACTATTTCTTCCTCTAACTAGTACGTTGCTCTATCTTTCAGTAAATGGCACCTAAGAAGAAGGCAAAAATTGGCCAAGGAACCAATGCCACCTCAGGAGTGGCTGATGAATCGTTACTTGATACTGTGGGTGAGGGTAGCCACCCTGCTATCACTCTGCCTGATTCTTCTATTCCAAAGCAGACTACCCCAGCTCCTACACCTGCGGGGGATGCTACTATTCCCCCCGATGATACCTCAGTCCCGCCTCCAGCCCTCGTTTCTGATTCTGGTATTTTTGATGGGGATCTTAGGGGAGCTATCCAGATGCTGACCCCGCTAGTGACCTCTCAGGCCCAGAGGTCAAATGTTGTGCCCAGTTCATCTAGCCAGCAAGGGGATACCACCAGTTCCAGGGTGAACAAATTTCTTTAGTTAGACACTCCAGTGTTTACGGGTGCCAATCCGGAAGAGGACCCTCGGGATTTTATTGATGAGATGCACAAGACCCTCAGGGTTATGCGTGCAACTGAGACAGAGAGAGTAGAGTTGGCTGCTTACCGTCTGAAAGGGGTGGCCTACTCGTGGTTTGAGTTGTGGGAAGATTCCCGTGAGGAGGGACGCTCTCCGGCAAGGTGGAACGAGTCTGCCGATGCATTTATAGACCATTTCCTGCCTGCCGAGACAAGGGCAGCCCGTGCAGCAGAGCTTGAAAACTTGAAATAAGGTAACCGAAGTGTATGGGAGTACCACATGGAGTTTGCTCGCTTGTCCAAGTATGCCATTCATATGTTGCCCACAATGGAGGCTAGGGTGCGCCGGTTTGTTCATAGCCTTAACTCTCTGACTATTAATGAGGCTTCTACGGCTGCATTGAATTCTGACATGAACTATGGGAAGATGGTAGCATTTGCTCAGGCCACAGAGAACCATAAACTGAAGAACAGGATGGAGAGAGAGGGTAACAGAAAGGCCCGGTCTACGGGCAACATGGGAGAGTCACTGGGTGGGGGAAGATCAGCTTTCAGGGGGGGGATCATCAGGGCTTTCCCAGTCTATTGCACAGTCTTCAGCCAGTGCACCGCCATCAGGTCCCGTCCAGCAGCAGTGGAGTCATTTCAGGCCCGGTCAGGGCAACAGGGGATCCCATCAGCGGGGTCGGACATGAGAGAGGTCCCAGCAGTAGCAGAGGTCCCCGTGCCCTAGGTGCGGGAAGATGCACTCAGGAACTTGGTATTTGGAGTTACCTATATGCTATGGATGTGGGATGAGGGGTCATATTTAGAGGCATTGTCGTGTATCCCGCCAGGGAGCGGGTAGGGGCACAGCACAACCATCTAGTCCTGCAGCTGATACATCTTCAGCACCTTCTCCAGCTCGAGGTACCCCAGCACCCGCAGGGTGTGGTGCAGCTAGGGGTGGTGCGCAGTGTTGAGGAGGACCCAACCGATTCTATGCTATGAGTGGTCGCCAAACTGCTGAGGTTTCTCCAGATGTTGTTTTCTCTAGATGTTGTTACAGGTATTCTGACTATTCAATCTCATGATGTGTATGCACTTATTGACCCCGGTTCCACCTTGTCCTATGTTACCCTTTTTGTTGCCATGGAATTTGGGATAGAACCGGATCAGCTTCATGAGTGATTTTTGGTGTCTACTCCAGTTGGTGAGTCTATCACGGCTGCTCGAGTCTATAGAGGTTGTGTTGTTACGGTACGGGGTAGGGATACCACGGCCAATCTTATTGAGTTAGGAATGGTCAACTTTGATGTAATAATGGGAATGGATTGGCTTTATTCATGCTTTGCCAAAATTGATTATCGGACTAGAACTATGAGGCTTGAATTTCCTAATGAGCCTGTTATTGAATGGGAGGGAATGGGAGGGAGATAATGTAGTGCCTAGAGGTCGGTTTATTTCCTACCTTAAGGCCGCGAGGATGATCAAGAAGGGGTGTATCTATCATTTAGTTCGGGTCACGGACACCAATGCCGATGCGCTTAGCCTTGAGTCTGTACCCGTTGTGAATGAATTTCCGGATGTCTTTCCAGATGAGCTCCCTGGGATTCCTCCAGACAGGGAGATTAATTTTAGGATCGATGTGATGCCAGGCACGCAGCCTATATCAACTCCACCTTACAGAATGGCATCGGCAGAACTGAAAGAGTTAAAGGAACAATTGAAGGATTTGCTAGAAAAGGGTTTCATCCGGCCAAGTGTGTCACCTTGGGGCGCACCGGTCTTATTTGTAAGGAAGAAAGATGGGTCTTTGTGGATGTGTATTGACTACCGGCAACTCAACATGGTCACAATCAAAAACAAATACCCTCTGCCAAGAATGACTTGTTTGACCAATTGTAAGGCGCTACGTGTTTCTCAAAGATTAACTTGCGGTCCGGGTATCATCAATTGAAGATAAGGGAGCGGGATATTCCAAAAATAGCCTTCAGGACTCGGTATGGGCACTTTGAATTTATGGTGATGTGTTTTGGGCTAACAATGCCCCGGCAGCTTTCATGGATCTTATGGATCGAGTCTCCAAGCCTTTTCTAGACTCCTTTGTGATAGTGTTCATTGACTATATTCTTGTGTATTCCCGAAGTCGAGAGGACCATGCTGACCATCTCATGGCAATTTTGCAGACTCTTCAGCAACATCAATTGTATGCAAAATTTTCAAAATGTGAATTTTGGCTTGAATTTGTCGCGTTCTTGGGTCATGTCGTCTCCAGGGAAGGGATTATGGTTGATCCTCAAAAGGTTGCTGCAGTGAAAAAATGGCCTAGACCTACCACTCCAACAGAGATTCGTAGTTTCTTGGGTTTGGCTGGGTACTACAGGAGATTTGTGGAGGGATTTTCCACTCTTGCCTCTCCATTGACCAAATTGACGCAGAAAGCAGTTAAATTCCAATGGTCTGATGCTTGTGAGAGGAGTTTCCAAGAATTAAAATCAAGGTTGACATCAGCACCGGTATTAGCCCTGCCAGAGGGTATAGAGGGTTTGGTGGTGTATTGCGATGCTTCAAGAGTCGGGCTTGGGTGTGTGTTATTGCAACATGGCAAGGTTATAGCTTACGCTTCCAGGCAGCTCAAGAATCATGAAAAGAATTATCCAACTCATGACTTAGAGCTGGCGGCAGTGGTGTTTGCGCTAAAAATTTGGCGACATTATCTATATGGGGTCCATGTGGATGTATTCACGGACCACAAGAGCCTTCAACATATTTTCAAGCAGAAGGAGTTGAATCTGAGACAGAGAAGATGGTTAGAGTTACTCAAGGACTACGACATCGATATTCTCTATCACCCGGGAAAGGCTAATGTTGTAGCGGATGCTCTTAGTCGAAAATCTATGGGGAGCTTAGCTCATATGGAGGCATACCAGAGGCCGTTGGCGAGGTAGGTTCACCAGTTGGCTAGTTTGGGAGTTCGCCTTGCGGACTCTAGTGAAGGAGGGATAGTTGTGCAGAATAGAGCTGAATTGTCGCTCGTGGCAGAGGTTAAAGAAAAACAGTTCAACGATCCATTATTGGCACAGCTGAAGGAGGGAATTCATAGACACAAAATCATAATTTTTTCCATAGGCATGAATGATGGTACCCTACAGTACCAAGACCGCCTATGTGTTCCTGATATTGACGGTCTTCGGGAAAGGATCATGGCAGAGGCTCACACTTCCAGGTATACTACTACAAAAATGACCTTTAGCGGCAATCATTTAATGGCAATACATTAATTGCCGGTATTGATTCTATGAAGGTCCAATGTTACCGGCAATAGAATATTTGCCTATAAAGAACACATTTTTACTGGCAATTGAAAAACAATGGCCATTAAAAGTTATGCTTTTTATAATTATTTTAAATCTTCCCTCCTTCTGATTTTACTCCGTCTATATTCTTTTTCATCTCCCTCCTATTTTTCATAAGTTAAGTATTTTTATATATTTTTTCAAAGTTTTCATCTTTTTCAAAAAAACCATGCCTTAGTGTAAGCGCGCAATAGAAAGCCCTCAGCCCCCAAATTCATATCGCCAAAGCAAGCCTCAGTTTTTTCCACCTTCAATCATAGGTGCTTCGGTGTTAAATCGCCGGTCTCTATCTTCAGTCTCTTTAGGATTACCAAAATCTCAGGTATTCCTCTATCTCTCTCCATCTCTTTCACTTAATATTTCTTAAGGTAACACTGATTGAAGTTATTTATGAGTCCATCTACATACAAACTAAAGTATTTCAAATGAGAAGTTACAAATAGTGGAACATAAATTCTCAAATTTGTTTTAACATGTGGACAAAATTTCTGTCTGCTAGGTTAAAGCGGAATTTGTCCCCTTTTCATGTAAGGTACTTTTTCTTTGATTTTTTCCTTGTCAACTGAGGATGCGGCTGGGTATGGCTTGGCCAAAGTATGTCGATCGATCTGTTGCCTCAACTTGGTACTTGAAATGGCAATCTGAAGCTGAAATGAGTTTCAGATCAAGAAAAACAGATGAATTGCAGTGGTATCTTTGGTTCTTAATTAGAACTGCAATATATGGCTATGTATTGTATTATGTGATACGCTTTATGAAGAGGAAAATTCCACGGCTTCTTGGTTATGAACCTTTAAGGAGAAACCCCAACTTATGGAAGCTGCAGAGAATGGTATAATTACCTCTTCGAGTCATTTATATATCTAGTGTCTGGACAAATGTATGTTTCTGTTTATGCATAGTACAACTTGTTTGCTATGTTTATCTTAGTTATTACTCCCCTATTGATCTTACGTGGCCCTTTTATTTTTAGTCAGTTTAAAGAACATGTCCACTTTTAAGAACATGTACACACTACCTCCCCAAATCACATTTGTGGGACTCCACTGAGTGCTTGTTGTTGTTGTTGTTGTTGTTATTGTTTTGACATGTTTCCTTATAGTTTATTGAAATTCCACTGGGTGGTTGTTGTTGTTGTTGTTGTTTTGACCCATTTCCTTATAATTTATTGATTCTATTTCTAGTTAGTAGTTAGTCCATTAACTTTTTAAGATAAAGACTTCACTGAAGGAAGGAATAAAAAAGAGAAAGGAAATTAATTTTATAATTCATTTCATCAAAATAATCTCACTCAAATTTGCAATATTTAATTGAAAATGTGGCATTGGAACTCCAAACCAGAACAATTACCATTTTCTCGGTATCATTTTCTAAGAACTTCAGTATTGGTTTATTGATTCTCATATAACTAAATGACCTTTTTATATTCTATTTTTCTCATAAGAATTGAATGTACTATAAGATGTTAATTAATTTCTTTCTACTAACATTCCTTCATTTCATGATGTTATGTTCATTACTTGCTTGACTAACTTCTTTTTCTGAAATTGCAGGAGCTTTGTCTTTTTCCCCCTAGTGATTGATCCAGAATAAATCATCAATGGTTAGTGACTATTTTCTGCACCTAGCAGTTGTCTTAGCTCAACTTTGAGTCATATTTTACTATATTTTAGAAGTGAGAGTTTGGGGGGATGAACATGGGTACGAACTTATGGGTAATAGATCTTATGTTGTGATATTCATTGTGCTCCAAGGAGTCCAACTGGCAAACACATGGTGGAAGAATTGGTATTCATAGTGCTCTACTTCTAAGGTTTGTTCCCTGTGTTTGGAGGTAATTACTTCTCTCTTTTTCTGTTTAATTTTTTATATCTGTTACGGTGTGACCGTCTTATGCAATGCCCAAGCGCAGAAAAGTATGTGCTCTAACTCCTCTATAAAATGCTAATGGATGCCAGTTTGGGTTCTTTTTTCTTCCAATGGCCTTACTCTTCCTTTTGTAGTTTTATGTCTAATTTTTCCAGAGAACTTAAATATTAAAGCTTCCAGAGAATAAACAATCTTAAGTACTTAGGTAGATGCATGTTATTCCTGAGATTATTTTCTTTCGATCGATGAACTTGGGTTTATGTATTTTTGTTCTGCAAGTACTCTCTGTGTGTGTATATTTTCTTTCGGTTGATGAACTTGGGTTCATTGTGTGTATTGTACTGAAAGTTTCTATCATAAAACATCTTCAGCCACAAAGATTCTCAAAGAGGACAAAAACATCAACAGAAGCTGCTATACTGAAGCCGACGACTTTAAAGAGGATTTACTGAGCCTGATATTTCTGCATTGGGTAGTGCGACAATGACTCTATGATCATATGATGATAACAGTCACACACATACATTTGAAGATATTTTAGGCTTAATTAGACAATAAGACTGAACATGGCACAGTTGACGTACGAACTTATTCATTGTGTTCTAAGCTGCCTGTACATGACTAGATAGTAGCTATACAATGCTAATGATATCCCTTTAGTTAGCGGTATATATCCTTGACAGTGGCTTGACATATTTTTTTTTTCATGTTGTTCCATAAATTAATGTTTTAATCCGAGCACTGCACTTTTTGAAGATATTAACCGCTTTATGAAAATAGGGGAATCTCAAGAAAATATCAACTTTGTGGTCAATTTTATCTTATGGGATTTTATCGTTCTAGGTTTAACTTTTGGGGCTATTCTACTGTCAATTTCTTTTCTCCAATGGGAAGGTACTCATCTGCTAGTCTAAGTAATTGTGGCCTCTGCGCAATAAACGAGTTTAAGTATCTTGTTAAGGAAGCACATAAATGTGGAATCGAGGTGACTAATTACTGGAGAAAACTATGGGTTTGTTCTCCAAAATTTGGTATATTCTCTTCTGACTGTTCATTGGCAGGTTATCATGGATGTTGTTTTCAATCACACTGCCGAAGGAAATGAAAATGGTCCCATTGTATCATTTAGAGGAATTGACAACAGTGTATTTTATATGCTAGCTCCTAAGGTACGATTGTCACTACTAATCCATTGCACGTCTCTATTGTTGGTGTTAGTTTTTTAGCTCAGTTTTTTGAAAGGGAAAAAAAGAGAGTCCATAGTCTGCTTTAAGTTCCATATATAGAATCCTTTGCTTTCTCTAAACAATTTTATTGTGAAGTTGCTCCGCTGTTTTGAAATTGATTAGTTCTTCGAATCATTGAAATATACTTTTTGCTATTCTAAGATAATTAACCGTGCAATTGCTTTTACTTAATTAATAAAAGAAAATAATTAAACCCTGCAATGTGGTATTCTCCACCTTAAGATTATTATGTTCTCTATATCCCTCAGTTCATCAAAGTCTTAATAGATGAAACTGTTAAGTTGTGAGGCTTCATTTTATGGCGGTAAGCGCTTTAGTGACGGAAACTATGGTGCAACTACGTCAGCAATGAGTCATGCCTTTCAATCCTGTCATCCTGGTTAAAGCACTAAAATTGAGAGGCTTTGTGTAGTGCTATAAACTGCTGCCCAATGGGTGAACTTAAATATAAAAGCTTGTGTAATGGCTGCCAAAGAAAGTCATACCAGAAGAGTTACAACATTTGGTTGCTTGGAGTTTTGTGATGTTGTGTGGCTTCTTTCTTGGTTGGTGCTTTTCTATGAAGAATAGGGACTCACAAGATGCTGAGTCGTGTGTAGTTTCTTGCTATACTCATTCCAGGGTCATTGTCTTTCCACTGGTAGAGAATATGTATGTATAAAGGATCTGGTGTGTCAACAAAGTTGTAATAGGAAAAACAATCTATTATTTAAACATTAGTAAACATGTTCTTCCTTCAAGTTCACTTCGTTAAGAAGGAAAGTTTTATTTTCTGAAGTAATTTAGAATTACTATATTAAACCTTGGACTTTAACTCTCGGACTCCATGATAAATATACTTCTCATGGCTTTGCAGGGAGAATTCTACAACTACTCAGGATGTGGAAACACCTTCAACTTAATCATCCCATTGTATGACAATTTATAGTGGATTGCTTGAGGTAAGCTAGTTTTATCATGTCATCTGCCGTATGTCTTATCAGAATAATTATTCTTAAGTTGGCTATAATTTATAGAGAAATTTAATTTCAACTACTTTGTGACACATACAATATGAGTATGCCTATGGTTTTATCAAGGTTATTGTGCATAATTTTCTGTCACCTATTTGGGAGCTTCATTAATAGCATGTAAGCATATCTAGTATCTATGTTTAAGGAAAAGACTTGGCAACTATAACATTTGCTAATGAACTTGGCGTGCAACTTCCTTTTACTTCTCCAAGATAACATTCTGCTTTTGATTTTTTTTTTGTTCCTTCTCGATTATAACATAGAAAGAATCTCTCTTTCATTATTTGCACATCCATTTTGCTCGCCTATTAATCCATGTAGTCATTTTTGCTAATAAATGTTAGGTGAGGGAGTTGGCTGAAAAAGAATATGATAGACTGACAGTGATGGAATCTTCAATATATTTTCTCACATTATATTTTATCTTTTTTGACACAATTTTTTTATAATTTCAGGTCACACTCTGATTTTCAATAGTTCAGCGGGTAGAAGATTTGAATATGATTAAAAGTTGCGGAAATTATTTGAAGACTATCATTCCTCAAGATTAGTTATATAATAGCATTAGCTATTCAATTCAAACAAGATAAGTTTATTTTTTAAGTTAATGTGACATTGATTTTTTTATTAGTACTTCTGTTTGTTTTTTAAGAATTAGTAAGATATATTATATTTTTTAATTAATATTAATAAATTTTATTGTTTGGACATATTTTGGATGAATGTAGTAACTATTATTAATGGTGCCTAAATTATTTATGTTACAGTTTTTGACTTTTAGCACTAAAAATAATTGTTGTTAAAGATATTGACTTTTAGCGACAATTTAGTTGAATGGATCAGCCATTGAAATGGATCCTAAAAGGGCAAACTAAGACATTTTCAGAAGGGATACTATTGCAATTTTAATTACCACAAAATAATTACCATTAAATATACGAACTTTTAGCGATAATTATTTTAAATTTAGCGGCTATTTAAAATGACGCTAAATGAGCATAATTAGCCATTTTTAGATTGGGTTTAGAAGCCATCATAATTGCCGCAAATAATTGCCGTTAAAGTTAATTGTTTTTGGCGGCAATAAATCATATATTTTACCAGCTTTTGTCATAAAGGCCGCTAAAGGCTTTGCCGACCCCAACATCAGCGGCTAAACGCCAATGGCCGGTAAAGGATATAGCGGCTATAGTTATTGCCGCTAAAGCCGTTTTGTATTGCCGCTAAACACCTTTTTTGTTGTAGTGCCGTGCACCCAGGTTCTACGAAAATGTATCATGATCTCAAGGAGATTTATTGGTGGAACAACATGAAGAGGGAGGTGGCGGACTTTGTGGCTAAATGTTCGAATTGTCAGCAAGTGAAGGCCGAACATCAAAGGCCCGGTGGGTTGGCTCAAAGCATAGAAATTTCGATGTGGAAATGGGAAATGATTAACATGGATTTTGTGGTAGGATTATCGCGCACTCCGCGCAAGTTCGACTAAATTTGGGTAATCGTGGATCGACTCACGAAATCAGCGTACTTCTTGCCAGTTAAATCTACCGACACAGCGGAACAGTATGCATAGTTGTATATCAAGGAAATAGTCAGGCTGCATGGCAGTCCAGTCTCAATCATTTCAGATCGAGGGGGTCAGTTCACAACCAACTTTTGGAAGATGTTTCAGCAAGGTTTGGGTACGCAGGTAAATCTTAGCACAACTTTTCATCCTCAAACCGATGGGCAAGCAGAGCGGACTATTCAGACGCTTGAGGACATGTTGCGTGCTTGTACTCTTGATTTCAAAGGTAGCTGGGATGACCATTTGTCTCTCATAGAATTTGCTTACAACAAAAGCTTCCGTGCTAGTATCCAGATGGCACCATTCGAGGCATTGTATGGTAGGAGATGCAGGTCTCCCATTGGGTGGTTCGAGAAGCGCAATTGATAGGGTCGGACCTCGTGCATCAGGCCATGGAGAAAGTCAAGATTATCAAGGAGAGGTTGAAACTGCTCAGAGTCGTCAAAAGTCTTACTCGGATGTTCGCCGCAGGGATTTGGAGTTCAAAGAAGATGATTGGGTATTTTTGAAGGTTTCCCCTATGAAGGGTATCATGCGGTTTGGGAAGAAGGGAAAATTGAGTCCGAGGTATGTCGGACCATACAGAATCATTCAGAGGATTGGTCAGGTGGCATACAAGCTCGAGCTGCCACCCGAGATGTCATTGGTACACCCGGTCTTTCATGTGTCTATGTTGAGGAAGGTAGTGGGAGATCCATCCACTATTCTGCCAGTTGAAACGATTGAGGTTAATCAAGAGCTATAATATGAAGAAGTTCCAGTTGCCATTCTTGATAGGCAAGTTCGGAAATTGAGGAATAAGGAAATTGCATCCGTGAAAGTGTTATGGCGGAACCGGCAAGTTGAGGAAGCCACTTGGGAAGCCGAGGATGAAATGAAAAAGAAGTACCCACATTTGTTTGAATAGTCATGCAATAGCTCTTATGCATTTGGTTCCTACGAACTCTTATCTTTTGATTTAATCTATGTGAAACTGTTCCATTTTAGTTATATGTGTTGCCTATACGGCCATGGTTAATGTGGTATAAGTTATATTATGTCTATGAAATATGTTCATGCTGTTAGGATACGTTTCTGGGGCTCTCTGTCAGGTGGATATGCCTAAATACAAAGTAAACTCTGGCAAAATTTTCGGAAAATTTGGGGAGTTAGCCGAATTTGGAGACTATTAATATGTTTTAGGTTGCAAAGAGGCAGAAAATTGCATGAAACTGTTAATAAGTGAACCTCGATCCTCATTCGAGGACGAATGATCTTAAGCGGGGGAGGATGTAAGGCCCCGTGTAAATTTCCACTCAAAACCCGAGTCTCGTAATGCTACATTAGGATTAGGTGTTAGAGATTCCTAAAAATTCCTCGCGGCGAGCAACCTCGCCGCGGTTCGGACCCCTTTTGTACTGATCTATGCATTTAAAAGTCAAGAATTTAAAGTTTTCCAGAAAGGTGCAATTATGCGGTCGAGAATGCGGTCGCATATCAGGTATGCGGACCGCATATCCGCCGCAGAGTGAGTCAGTGTGTTGGACAAAATTGAGGTCAACTATGCGGTTGATTATGCGATCGCATAACCAACATGCGGACCGCATAGTCGTCGCAAAATTTCCTTAGAATTTTGTGAGGGGCAGTTCTTGGGTGCATTATGCGACCGCAGAACGGGTATACGGACCGCATTTCCGTCGCATACCCAAACAGTATCCTCAGATTTTTGGGGAGCATTTTGCGGTCCATTATGCGGGCCACATGTCAGCTTCGCGATCGCAAATGCGATCGCAGACCTGAGTCGGGGCTCCAATTTTCTAAATTTTAAACCCGACCCCATGTCGTTATATCCGGTGCAATAGGTTATTTTGAGCCATTTTCCTGATACTTCTAGAGTGAGAGAGAGGGGTCTAAGAGAGGGAAAGTGCTTCCCATCAAAATTGCTCCATGAATTCTTGTTGAATCATTGAAGATAATCAAGTGAGGGACCTAAAACTTCATCCAAAGAGGTAAGACTTCATCGCCTCAGCTCTCACTTTTACACATAGCTATAAGGGGTCATTAGTGAGGTAATTCATGGGGATAAGGGGGATTGCATTGCATGCATGTGTTCCTGAAGAATATGGGGAAAGTATAAATAAAGAGGAATGGGTAATGGGCTAGTATAATCTTGCATAAAAGAACCATAAGGCCTTAATGAACACTAAAATGCTCGATAAAATGCTCAAGAGAGCCTAGATTATGATCTTTTCCTGATTATGAGTTGAAGTTTGCTATATTACTTAAATAGATTGAAGTTCGAACATTCCGGAACCTTATAGGATTAAGGAAAGCTTGGTTGAGGTATGTATGGCAAAAACCCCGTCTTTTAGAAATTGAGCTTTATTGGTGGTTGTGTGAATATGGTAAGATCAAAATTGAATTGTTGTACTGATTGTTATTTCACTTTAATTGGTGCTACAATCTCATATGCGTGGAAAATATATCTTAATATGATTAACATTCTATTCTTGATAACTTAAAGAAAGGTGCTAGGACTATGGATCATGAATTGAAATGCCTAGACCTTAAAAAATCGAATTTTCATATGTTGTGCCATCTATGTGAAATCTTATCTATGCTTGCAATTTAAATTACTCTTGCATACACCCATTTTCCTAAATTACAAACCTAGCATTGAAATTGGGAATGATGTGAGATGTGGCCTAGTGCCGAATATATGATGTGACAGTTGTGGCCCAAAGTGCCTATGAAATGAGTGATGAGAAACAAAGATTGAAACGAGATGATTGATGAAAAAGGGAAACGCCTTGGTAGGGCGGCCTAGCCGATCGGGTCGAGATCGGATGCCATGCTACGCACATGGTGGTAACGAAATTGTGATTGAAGTGAACATCTCAAATGAGGCGACCTAGCCGATCGGGTCGAGATCGGACTCCGCTCAAGTTAGCGGTGGTAATGTGAACAAAGACGAACAGCATGAGATGCCAAAAAAAAAAGCTATGGAAACACAATGTGAAAATTGTATGCTGCCTTTATTTGTAAATGTGTGGCCATTTAAAGTCCCCTTTGAGTTGTACTTATCATTGCTTTATTCTTGTATGGAAGTTCTTTCTAACTAGATGGAGTTTAGTTATACATACTAGTACTATTCCATGGTACTAACGTCCCTTTTGCCGGGGGTGCTACAATTGTTTAATGAATGTAGGTGGCTCCATTGCAGATAGTGTTGATCGCGTGTAGCGGAGTACCTTCTTCCGATGTTTGGGTGAGCCCCTTTCTCCTTCAAGGGGTTAGATTACACATCTTTTGTCGTAGGCTCCTACTTTTGAGGTATAGCCGGGGCCTTGTTGCCGGCACTGTCATGCTTGTCTTTTTACATCCTTAGAGGCTCCGTAGACATGTGTGTGGGTTATGTACGGGTGTTTGAGGGGTCCATGAACTATGTTGTAATTCTAAACCCATGTTATCTATAAATTGTAATTTTATGGGAATTTTGGAAACTAACTTTAACTACGGTTTAAGTTTGTAATATAAAATGAACTAACACTGTTGAACGTACTACTTTTCCCTGCTTAAATAAAAAGGAAACATGGCTATCTTGTTCATGATGAGTTGGGTAGGAAGTGTGTGATGAGGCTTGCTCGGTTGGGTTCACTCGATCGAGCGCCGGTCGCGCCTCCCGAGGTTGGGGCGTGACAGTGATTCAAGAGAAGAAGAAACAATCACTCATATTTTCTTTGACTGTAAAACAACCAAACCATTTTGGGATAATATGGGTTGGTCAAATTTTTATGATCCAACAGGTGATCACTGGCTTCTCCAACTAAAAAATTTTGATTGCTCATTAAGAAATAAGTTTATTACGTGGAACTCTTTGTTTCCTTTTGCCCTATGGGATATATGGATAAACAGGAATTCAAATAACCAAAACAACACTAGCAACCCTATTAACATAAACAACATTATTCAAAAGGCCACAGAATTCACACTTCTTACTGAAAATAGCTTTGTCCCACTAAAGGAAATACCATTGGAAGTTAAATGGCAAAAACCTCCTAAAGGCTGGTTCAAATTAAATATTGATGCCAGTATTAAGGACAACTATCAAAAGTGTGGCCTGGGAGGTGTATTCCGCAATACAAA